ATTTATAAATCAGATTATTAGAGTTGCGTTGCAAGTCCGACAATTGTTCGGCGCGCAATTTTGAGGGGACTATATATACTGTTAAATAGGGCGAATAAGAATCAAATTACAATTTGAAATCTAAATCTGATAATTTATTCTAATATTATATATATGTATATCTATCGATATTCGCAAATTCTCGCAAGTGCTAAGACACGCGTATATCTCTTTATATAGAATCTCGATTTAATAACTTACCAAGGCGTATAAGGTAGACTTCCACTACAATGCCTTACTGATGAGTCCAGTAGTGGAAGCCGGGACGAAACGCCAAAAATTACGTGATATTCTTCGCAATATATAATATTAGAATAAATTATCAGATTTAGATTTCAAATTGTAATTTGACTCTTATTCGCCCTATTTAACGTGTTAATTATTAATAAATAAAAGAGTCCTTCAAAATCTTCAATTCATTTGTTTTCAAACCGCAGGCTGTAACAATACGGATAATACATTGTAAGTCTTTTCATTAAGTTAAATTAACAGTTTCTAATTTATTGATCGTTTCGATAAATTATTTGACATTTTAAATTCATCTTTTACAATTAGTTTAAAGGAATACCGAACAGTTTTTACCGGAAGCACGAAACAAGTAGAATTTTTACAAGAAACATTGATTTTTTTGAAAGATATCACAGCTGTTAACAATAAAGGTAAAACTGTAAAAATTAAATGTTTTGAATGCTGGCAAGTCACTATTAACAGTATTATACAATTGTGGGAAATATTAAAGACCTTTAATTTTCCATATTTACAAACTTATAGAATAAATCAAGATTAATTGCCTCGAAAACTTTTTTGGTTCTATTCGCCAACAAGACGGTAACTGTGTAAATCCGACCTCTATACAGTTTGCTCGCGCTTTAAAAAAATTGTTTAGTATTAAGTTATTACAATCTTGTGATATAAAAAATTGTGCTCCAGACTCCAATGAAATATTAAACTTTATGGAAACATCCATAATCTTCGATCTATAACTTCTAACTTTAATAAATCAAAAATTAAATATAAAAATCGACTCTCGAAAATTTCAAATAAATAGAATAAATAGGCTAATGAGAGTAAAATCGCTGTTAGTAATGCGAAATTATAAAAAATATATATTTAGATATTAACAATTAAAAAATATCATATATAAAATTACTAAACGTTTCGGCTTACATCCGAGCCATCTTCAGTAGTAAATTCGCGAAAAAGCCATGGATAAGTAGGAAAGTGGTCACTCTCACCGTCAAACAAACAAATCCACATGGTTCGTAGGTCATGTGCAATTGACTAGACGAAAATCTAAGTAAAAATTGAAATTAATAACTATGATTGAAAAAAAAATGAAAATGAACACTCACCGACGAATCCATGATTACAAGATCAAATTGTATTACAAGAATAATTGACCATCATCAAACAAACAATAAATTAATATAAAAGATAGTCAAGTGATAAAAATCCGAAGATAACATTGTGGTGGTCAAGTTTTAAATGTAATAACTGTAAATAGGAGAACTCTATGAGGAGCAACGATGTATCGATGTATCGAAATTACGCGACATTCATACTCAACGGAACGCGACACGTCGCATCTACTACATTTTAATATTTTCCATAATAAAGTTTTAATAATAAACAAAATGATGTCAAAGCAATTAAAGAGTCAGTAAGTTGGTATTGTAAGATATCAACTAAAGATCTACGCGTATATACTGTGGCAAGGCGGTGACTTTGTGTTACGAACTATACGAGGTCCTCGGTTCGAGTCCCGGCATCGCGTCGAGCGTCCGACATTTTTTCTCGGCCCAGCGTTTACGGTATCATAAGGGTTAAGTTGTGCTAGATCATCTGACAGCTTTTTAACTTGGACTGCTTGTCAGAACAGTACAACCTTTATCAGGATACAATATTTTACACATTGCTTCCAATCTTTCAAACTCATTTGTACTATCATTTCCAGGAGGTTTTTGTAAGAGATCATTAAGTCCTTGGCTTTTTCTTTTTCCACAAAATGATGTCAATATGTCGGGAGACTCTGGCCAATTAGGAACGATTTCGTCTTCTAGAAATGCACTTATATTCTTTAGCTCTCTGTTAAACCTAATCTGACTGAGCTCTAAATCTTGTGATTGTGCACAAGAATCGGTTATTTACTGACTTTCCATTAATAAACTTTTCCATTAGTAAGCTTTCTGTAAAAACTTTTGATAAATCTTTGTCTTTTATAGAATCATCCATTAGATGATAGCTAATATTTTTATATGCCGTATTATAGTTTTCCTTAACAATATTGCACGGCTGACTGGTTGAACTAACTGCTAGAATGACGGATCCATCGCAAAATGTATTATTCTCTATGCAGGTATATTCATTACATTCATCTTGCGTATTTCTTATATCATGTAACGATACCTGGTTGAATACCTTTTGAGTTTTTTTTTACTTTTTTCAACTGTGTTTCCAGTGTCTGAAAAGGAATTAAAATAAATTGAAAATTTTTAATGTATTTTAATTCATTTGAATCAAAATTCTTGATTCATGCATATGGATGGAAAGGAATTGAATGTAGTAAAATTGAATCACTTTCTATCCATGTAGATAAGAAATCTTTGTGCATTGTTGAAGTAAAAATATATAACTTTGTATCTGTGTCACAAATAAAAATAGATTCATGATCCGCGAAATTTTTTCTATTGAAAAGAATAAGATCACACCTATTATAGAGAATTCGAGATTTTTAAATCTGTTTTGAACTGAAAGAATAACAATTACGTCATTTTAATACAATGTCAGGAATTAAAACGGAATACGTGATTATCTTTTTAACGAAACTATTTTTCGATTGAAAAGAATAAGACTCACTTTCTTCCAGTCTTGTATTATGGACGAAAATGGATTTAAAAATTATTCAAACCTGCATTGGATTGACAGCTGCAGTGTCATATTTTTTGCGTAAAAGTTTTTTTTGATTGAAAGGAATAGAAATCTCATAGTTTCAATTCCAAATCATGGATTAAAATAAATTCAAACTTTGAATGAATTGAAATGGATTAAAAAAATCAAGAATTTGGATTCAGCAATGACCAAATGAATCTATTTCAATTTGTTTCAATCTTTTTTCGGATACTGGGTTATTAAATCTTCATTTTTTCGACTTACAGCTATTTTATTTATTGCAGAATTCAATTTCTTATTCATAATCTCTTTATCATCATGAAGTTCCTTTATTTCTTCTTCATGCTTTTTAATTATTTCTTCAAGTTCTTGTATTTTCTGTTTATTTGTATCTTTTGTAGTTCCTTGGGATGTTGATTTTATTTCTTCAGCTTGTTCAACTTCATTATGTAATTCTGATTCTAGATCCTGCAAAAAATAACAATGTAATAAATTCATTCAAAGCTGGTATAAAAGTAATAAAACAATTAAATACACTTTTATAACCCTTACGGAAAAATACTATTAAGAATCGATAGTTACTATTGGTGTTCCAGTAGTTACTACTGAGACTCCAGTAGTTACTATTAATGCTTCAATAGTTTACTATTATGACTCCAATAGTTTGAATAATATTGGATCTATAATAGTAACTATTCGCCTAACATTTCTGCACTTGCGAAAATGATTTTTATACAAATTTGAATAAAGAAATAGATTTTAACCAATTATTTGTTATTATGTTTTATAATAAACGTCGCTAACTAAATCTAGCGTGTGGCTGTAGCTCTTTTTTTATGACATTAACTTTTTTTTAAATAGGTAAATGTAAAAAAATAAGTTATTACATTGAGAATAAATCGAAAATTTTAGGAAATGAAAAAGTCACGAGTTTACATCTATATATTATTTTATTGAGTAAAAAAATGGAAAATTGAAAAAAAAAATTGGGTGAACTTCCGAAAATGGCCAACGCCCGATTATCATGAAACTTGGCAGAAATACTCTAAATGACGTCAAATATAATAAATGCCCTTAAAAGGATTTTCACCGACAAGAAAGTTTAGTGCCAAAAATGTTTGAATAAAGTTGCAGAAATAAAACGTTAGGTAAAAGTACCGATTAGAGGACCCTCGCCCAATGAACTTGACCTTGACATATGTTGTCAAGGTCATGACCCTGAGTAACCTCCAACAGGTTTTAACCATCGATCGTCCTTCGTTAAAAAGTTATTAACAATCATAGTTCTAAAATTAAGGTATGATATATAATACATGTATGATATTAAGTACTATTCTACACCTTTCCCTGTTCAAAGACGTTAAACTTTCCACGCGAAGTAACTTTCACCCCCCCCCCCCC